ACAGGGACAGTTGTAACACATGCCAGGGACGGTTGTAACGTGTTACCTTTTTTCATACTACATGACAAAAAAGAGGGAAAGCTGTCAAATTCTAAGGCAACAAGATTGTAATGGGGTTTCACCATAGACTGTATGGGTTTCACACATCCTCCAACAAACAATGAACAGAACTTAAAACAGAACACCAGATGGAATTAATCTGATTCACAGTTGTGGGAGGTGTAAAAGTCACTTCCATCTGTATAGATAGCCTATTCTACCTTAATGATGTAGACCTACCTCCTTTGAGCTGAGACCGTAGTATAAATCAGCTGCCTCCATCAGGTAGCCTCTCAAAAGCATATCTTGCTCTGTTGAGAACCAGTAGCATGGCGTGGGGAAAAAATTAGGGGAAGCCAATAATACGTCCTTTCTTTTGGGGTGGGGGGGGGTGTGGTGGTCAATGTAATAACGTAACCAGATGAGTGATTACAGCGCCCGGTATCATTTTACACACATTTGTATCATACAGATGCAGGACTTACACACGCCTGTTATCTGACTGACAGGTCCGCACTCACTCTCCAGCCGAAACTCTAATAAGCATTCATTCACAAACTAAATCAGGAGACCTTTAACGTTTTACGTCCGGTTCGCTCCTTTGTTCCTCGCTGTACGCAGCTCCAGTTTGGGCATTGGCCTGTCATCAGATTGTATTTGTTGTTGCTGCTGCAGCGGAAGTTTAGTACAATTATTTTTGATTAAATACTCCAAATCTCCACCCNAGCCTGCAGCCCGTTTTGAAGAAATGTGCCGTGCAATCAGCTCATTGCAGCCTAATGCTGTGATAAGACACACTCTTTTTTGCCAAATATCAGCATTTTCTTTCTTTTCATCTTTTTGGCACAGATTGAAGGTTGGTAAAGTGTTATAACTTATTGTTACAGGGCGACTGTCTGTGAGGGAGTGGTGTCGTTTTCACCAGAAGGTTGTGGGTTCGATCCGCCATGACATGGCCAACGGTGTGTGAATGTTCCTGTGAAATGTTAGGTCCTAGAGTAAGGTACACGTGCTGCTGTATGAAGGGTGAATGCCGGTGGAATGACAATGTAGTATGTAAAGCGCTTTTTGGAGTCTTAAAGACGGATAAAGCGCTATATAAGTACAGTCCATTTACCATTGTTCTAGAACAGTGATAATAAACAATGCTCATAATCTGTGTGTCAAAAAATGTGGCAATCCCTTTGCTGAAACAATGGTAAATGGACTGTACTTAATATAGGCTTATCCAGTCTTTAAGACCCCCCTCAAAGCGCTTTACATACTACATGTCATTCACCCATTCACACCCATTCCATACAGAGCAGTGTACATTACTCCTAGGACCTAACATTCACAGACATTCACACACGTTGGCCATGGGCATGGGCTGGGATCGAACCCACAACCTTCGGTTGAAAGACGACCACCACTCCCTCACAGGCCACAGTCGCCCTGTACAATAAGTTATAAATACCTTTACCACTTTGCAATCTGTGCAAAAAAAGATGAAAAGATAAGAAAAGCTGATATTTGGGCAAAAAAGTGGTGTCCTTATCACCACTTAAGTGGCTGCAATGAGCCTGATTGGCACGCACATTTCTTCAAAACGGGGCTGCAGGCCAGTGGCGGCGCCAGAGATTTCTTTTGGGGTGCTGTGGGGTAGACTTACGCTTCATAGAGGGTGCTAAAAACATTTGGGTTTCCATTAATGTACCGGTTGCTACAGTGAGATTTTCTACTGCAACACTCCCCACACGCACACAGTGTACCCGGCAATGTTGCAATGAAGGCTCGATAATCAGCCTCACGGCATATAGTGTAAGCAGGGTAAAAGTGCTATTTTTGTGGGGAGTGAACTCACATAGGAGGGTCCGGGGGCATGCTCCCCCGGGAAGATGTTTTTTTTAATATTTGAAGTTACAAAGCGTCATCTGGTGCACTTCATGAGAGCAAAATGAAGATATCTAGTATAAATGCCTCTCACACCCATATGAAACAGAACTGTAGACAGATTTACTTTTTCTTTATGGTATTTTACAAATCACTCCCCTTTTAGAGTCTATTCTTGTTTTATTGTCATAGTATTTCATAACTGTTTTTCATTTATTCTCTTATTTTTGTATACATATAATGATCATATAAACGTGTGCCTCGGAAATAATTGTTTACATTAATCTTGACCAAACCGTTTGAGACCCACTGAGATAACTAATCTCAGTGGGTAATCTAAACACTGAGAGAGTCCTTTACCTCACTGAGCTGAGGTTATCTTTGCCTCTCAGTCTGACAGGCGAGAGTTCTCCCTCCACCTTGTTGTTGAAAAAGCTCCTTATATCCGTTAGCGTAGCTAGCTAGCACCAGATGCTAACAACAACAATCTCCGGTACCGGTGAGCAATCTCTCTCTCTCTCTATCAAAAAAAAGTCCTCCTGGTCTCTGGCGCCCCCCCTGTCATGCCTCTGCGCCCCCCACTTTGAGAAACACTTCCAAAAGATCAACACTTGCTATAGTGCTGGCAGTGTGATTATGTCTTTAGTGTTTTTAGCTTTATGTTAGATTACAAATAAATAAGCTTTTTTCTACCTTAAAGAAAGATAAAGTACACACTAAAGCACTATTATGAACAATGCTTAACGTTAGCGGAGAATAAGGATTTGTTAAATGTTACCAATAATATTTTCAACCAACACAGAATTGCCTTTTAAACAGGGTTATACAATAGTTTACCTCTTGGGTAATAAAACTGAGAGATGAATTCGGTGTGTGAGTCTGTGTCTGTCTGCGTGTGTGTATGGCAGGGGTTCACAGGTGTTTTGAGACGAGTTTGAATACATTTCCATTTTTAAGCGAGATCGGTATGCATGAATATTTTTAAATTGGGAACCTGCACAACAGTGGCTGTCTAGATAAAGCAGTACCGGTACATGATAAAATGGGTCATGTTTTGTGCAGGTGTGAAGCACGTACACACACAGAGATGAAAACAGACGTTTGCATTGCCTCTTGTGGCTTTATGTTTGGTAGAATATATGCCATAAATGCAAAAGAAAGAGGACGGAGATGACTTTGGCTCTGATGTATAAAAGCTTAGACAGACTTGGCCTTCAGCCGAATTCTTTGATGTCGAGCTATTCCCTTTTTGATCACTTGTTTAGAAAATGTGATTGGCTTCAGCCTTTCCCGTTACCTCAATTGCCTCTTTCGCCAAGATTGTTTTAAAATTGTTATTAATGCTAGGGTCATACTCTGTGATCCCCTCGATATTTAATACAAATAATGCGGGGTGCAGAACTTTGCTCTGTCAGTTTACTGGCTGTATATTTTTAGGTTCATTTGTGATGATGCCATAAAGTGGGTGTGTGTGAGAGAGAAGGAGAGAAACAGACACAGAGAGACTAACTGTATCCACAGTAAGTCTTTGAACCGTTTAAAGGGAGCAGCGTTGGCGTTTCTCAACCCCATTAGCCATTTTGAAAGATGCAACATCGCAATTAGGCCGTTGGCACAAAGGGAAGGCGAGGAGGGAACCAGGGAGTTGTCAGGGGGCTTTACTCTGATAACAATTACAGAGAGAGTAACCCAGGAACACCAGACTTTAACTCAACAAGGACACTGCTTTTAACATTTACATTATGTTGCGGAAGAAAAAACAAGGTATTGAAAAATGCAACATGTTGCTTTTTCATTCTAGAGAAAGAGAAAGTGCTCTATCTATTCTATCTAAATAAACTAATGGTAGAATGTTACGAAGTGCATCCACAAATACTGTATTTAAAGGGGCCCTCTATTGCTTTTTGGGGTTCTCCCTTTCCTGTAGTGTGTTATAGGTTTGTGTGTTTGTGTGTGTGCAAAGGCTAAAATCCCTATGTTCCCTCCAGAGGGAGTTTCTCTCCCAAACACTCCTCCCCTACCTGAAACACCTTTATGGACATTATTTACACCTGGAACATAGTGACATCACTAGGTAACACTCACACTTCTATTGGCTAGCGCTCCAACCCTTTGGGACATCACTAAGCGCTTAACCACAACAGAGCTGGCCAGCTTACCAATCAGAGCAGACTGGGCTCTGGTTTCAGACAGAGGGTGAAAAGAGGTGCTGCACTAAACTGTTTTCATTATGCTTCTTTATACTACCCCACTACATTTTGTAAGCAAATGTTGGACTTTTTACTCCACTACATTTAATTGACACGTGAGGTAACTTTTCAGATTAGTAGCTAATACAAAAAACAAATCAACAAATAAATAAACATATAAGTAAGTAAGTATATAGCTGCGGTACACACCTTTATCAGTGTGCGTGAAAGCATCAATAACACTAATCCAGTATTTTAATATATTTCTGATTTGCCGTAATGCATTACGAGTAAGTTAAGTAGCAGTACTTCTTCCACCACGGAAAAAAAACTTAAATTCGGCTACATTGTAGTTAACATAAGCCAAATCAAATAAATACAGTATATCCAGCCCATGAGAAATCATCAACATTCTTTGAATGAAATCAGCAAATGGACGCTAATCTACATTAAAGTATAAAAACAGATATAGCTTCTCCTCGCCAGGCAATCAGAGTACAGCGCCTGGGATGGACTGAATATCATTGTCATTGCCCAAGACTAAAAGTTTGTTTTTGCTAAGATATATTTGGCAAGGAATTCACAGACTATGTCCAAAATACACCCTTGAAGCGGTGCGCCGTAATTATCAACTTGTTGAAGAAAAAGCTGAAGGACTGGGTCAACAGCAACCTTGTCAATCATGCAGTTCGTCAAAAGGAGCCAGGGTCCCTGCATGGCATTAGTCAGGTGTCTTTGTATGGGTGAGGGTGAGAGGTTGAGATTTTAATTAGCTGAGGAAGTAGGAGAGACTGCCAAGGAGAACAGGAAAGGTTAGGGAAGGCCAGGTACCGGTGGTAGATGAAGGAAGGTCAGGAAATCTAGACAGGAAGACTGTGTGCAGCCCAGCACACTCATTATTTTCTGACGGGGGGTTAGTGAGAGATAACTCTGTGCCAAGCTACAGTCTACAGAATGAAAAATTACCACACTTAGGAGCTGCAAGATTGTTGATTTCCCCTCTTTTCGGACAATGCTAATAACAGCTATTACATATAGATTGCGCTAAAGGGTTCTGGGTACGCAGTCGAAGAGGCATCAATCTTCAAGGATAATCAGGCATTTTTCAAAGCCCACGTTAAACATGATTTTGCATTATTCACGGTGAGTTCAAGGACGCAACCGATTGTATCAGGTGCACAAAAGGGGAGGGTTGTGCTACGCATGAACTGTTGTATCATATGTCGTGTACAATGAATGTGATTATGAAACTTGTGTGTTTGATTGAATTTTGAGGGGCTGGGAGAGGAGATTCCTTCCCTCAGGTGTTCACAACAAGGGTTGCAGTGCAGCAGCAGCAGCTCGAAGGAATCCAAACTCCTCTCAGCATTTATATTTAAAAGATAGCAGGAGGAACTCAAGAGCAATATAGGAATTGAGATGAACAGGTTTATTTTCTCACAAAAAGCAACATCCTTATTACCAAGCAGTACAGCAGGTTGTTTAATGTCTAAATGTTAAAGCATTTTACATCATTACAAATGTGTTCAGTCTTCTAAGGGATATTCTTCTATTCTAACCCAGATCTGTCAAATAATCGCTCAATTTAATATGACTTTTCCCCGTCTCACCTATAATATATTCATCGTGTTTACTATCCTAGTTCAGTGTGTTGACAGGCAGAGAATTTTGTAATGCTTTTTGTAGTGACATCCCTCTTTTTATTGGTGTACATTTTTGTACTTATTTATTTAAATGGTGTTTTAACATCTTATTCTATTTATTTGTTTTTTCTTCTGTCTTCCTTTGTTTTACTGAGAGGGCTATCTGTCGTGAACTTTTGGATCACTATTTATTTTATTGTACTTTTTTATTATCGTACCTTTTTCACATCCTTGTATTCCTTGAATCGTTATATTATGTTTTTATGTGTGCAAAAAGGTTCCAACATTGACCTGAATATAATTTCTCTTGATTTTATTTTGTAAGCTGCACTTAGTGAATTAAACGCGCTATACAAATAAAGTTGTTTTATTATTATTAAAAAACAGAAAAGTGTTACCATAGAATGATACAAAAGACAGTCACTGAGAGTGAACAGGTAACTAAAGGAAGTGCATTAAGACTTTAATACCTTCATCTTGATGGAAGCACTTAACCAAAGAGTTGGACTTTTAACACTTTGTTGTAACTTCTGAACAATGGAGAGCAAAGCATTGTTTTGTATTTTTGTCATGGGAACTAAACAAAAACAAATTATCAAGCCAAATAAAAAGCACATTTACAAAACTTGTATTTCAATATTTTACTATGTATTACCTTTTCAGTATCTCTGCTCAATCTATGCTCTAATGAGCTGGCTTTGTTCTCAGTGTTGTGACTGAACGTGACTTTGTTTTCATCGCTTACAGACGACAGAAGGGGAGGTTGAGACTTGTGCTGGAGGAGACAAATAAAAAAGGTACCATTCTGTTTATATCACTGATACCAAGTGACAATTTAAATCAACCGTCACAGAGTGTGTCTCGCATTTTAGTGTAATTCATTTAAAACGCTGCCAGAATTTTTTATTCAGGACTTGCTGGTACACTAGGTCAGAGAGATTTACTGCTGTTAGATGTCAGGAAATAAAAAGCTGTCCAGCAGTTAATCATCACAGTTTAAGAGATGCGGGTGTTCGTCCCTAATGACACTTGCAGCACTGCAGCCTCCACACTCACCGTGCTCTGTAAATCAACCCTCTAACAGGGGACAGCAATTTGACGACTGCTACAGTGAATGAAGTTGCGATCATAGGGGTTCACAAAAAAACTTACTTGGATGTAGTTCGGCCTGAGTGTTGCCAGGGAAAAAAGACGTTGCCGACAGCTGCTCGGTAGCTGTAGACACCCAAAAGTCCGAGGGCGAGGGCAACCTTGGAAACCCATGAGCATCGTCTTTGAACCAGGAGGTAGATAAAAACCAAACAGAAAGCAGCCAGCAGGGAGAGAACGGTCCGGTGTTCAGAGCTGGAATACATAACAAAGAAGCAGACAGGTGTGGGGTGAAGAAAAGGCTGCAGTCTGATATGGAGTTCATTTAAAGCACCATTATGTGACCTTTTAACCCTAAAATAATAACTTTTAAATAATTGTAATGTTACTTTGTATCAAGAACATTGGTGTCTCTGTCAGTCCCACTTTAGGCCCTGAATCAAAGTGATGTGCAAAAATGAGCGGTATGTAGCGCGTTAGCCTGTCGAATATCCGAGTTGTAATTAATCCACTTAATTTAGTTAATAGTAAACAACAAAAGTGACTAACTGGTATGATAATATTTTGTTAAAGGGGGCACTATCTTGCAAATGTTCAGGTTCATATTTGTATTTTGTGCCTCTAGTGTCTCCATGCTTTCATGTTCAAAAAGCTCTTTATTTGTCTCATACTGCCTGTGCTGCAGCACCTTTTTTCACCCTCTGTCTGAAACCAGAGCCCAGTCTGCTCTGATTGGTTAGTTGGCTGGCTCTGTTGTGATTGGTCAACCGCTTAGAGATGTCAAGCCCATTTGACTATCACGTAATGTATTGGAGTGCTAGCCAATAGAAGCGCATTTTTTACATAGTGATGTCACTATGTTGCGGAAGTAAACACAGGCTAAACTGAATGTGTGTCAGGCGGACAATTTAAATGCGCAAAAAGCTAAAAAACATGCATACTATAACGGAGTGTGGCGGATACACCTTTAATGTGCAAAAGTATAAAAAACGTTTACATTTAAAAAAGGTCTGAATAACCCTTCTAGACACCTTTTTGCAATATGTAACTTCTATGTCATTCAGGTGATGTTTTCTAACTATCCCTCTGATACTCTCCTATTGCTCTGCCTTGGTTCTAAAACATTTACAGTTTCCTGATAGACAGAAAAGTGTTCTTGTTGCTAAAGAAAACGCTAACTGCTAACTGCTGCTATCTCAGTTTGCCCTGCTGCCAGGACTGCTTTCTTTGATCACCTGGGGAATGTAGGTGTTTACACAGCTAGCACACAAGCTTTGAATGCTGGGAGGAGAGGATTTCCAGGCCTTGGGCAATGGGGAATGCTGGCAAGGAGCAAGTGAGAGCTTCACACATTAAAAAGCAGCAAGACAGATGCAGGGAAGGCCTTTTTGCTGTTGCACTATTAAGAAGATTAGCTGGTTTGCTATATCTTGTGTTTTTGCACTTGCTTCATGTTTAGCTGCGCTAGCTAAGGAATTTTCTCGGGAAATTGAACGTATAACGTTACAGTTGTCCGTAGTTACAACAGTCCGTAGTTACAACAGTGGTGTTTCAATGAAGAGCACAACATCGGAGGAAAATGAAACATGCTGTTGCTTTACAACACATAAACAGTTCATTTTGTATCTATTTTGACACCAAAATCAAATAAGCAAAAATTCATCAGGTTATTTGATCAATCAAAGAAGAAAGAGCAACACTTTAAGCACCGTAGACTTTGAGCAACAGAGAACATTTTGATGAGATGAAACACAGCCAGTTATACTGTATCCTCAAGCAGTAGTTTAAACTTTAAAGAGGCACAGAACTCCAATTGTTCACTGGATTTCAGGCAATATACAGTAGTATGAAATTACACTTCCACTGAGCACACACAGGTAATAAGACCTCAAAGGGCATATATCAGAGTTGAAAAGAAGCTGTGTATTTGGACGTTCTGTGGATCAGATAGGATGAGGCGTAACACTACCTAGATCTCATTATCTGAGCAACAGGCAGTGCGGTAGCAAGAAAGGGCAACGCTGGACAGGGAAAAGGTCAGAATTCACATCTCTATTCCACAATGCATGTTGAAGAACAAACCATAATCCCCTGCCCCATTCTGTTGACGGAATATTAATGGCTCTGAAACAGTCGGTTTTACTGAGAAATCACCTCGTTTTCTACAGACCAAGCAATCACAGAAAGCTATTTTCCCTCCTTGAATTTTCTAAAAAGAAATGCTAAGTGGATGGTCCTGTCAGCTTCTCAGCCAGAAAAACACCCTTTAAAATGTTTCGGTGTCAGGAGCAAAGACTTGTATAACGTGAACACCTTACACCTTTCTAAATGTCACTGACTGATCACTAAATTGTTCAGGGATTTATTTTGCAGTCAAGTGTAATTTCCTAGAATATTTCACTCAACCAGCTTCTCCTCAACCATGAAGTATTTCCTATATTTCCCATAATGGCCTTCAATTTTCACCAGAGAACAGGAGTGAACTTGTGCAGGTGGAAAGACAAAAAGGATTGTCACCTGATTGTGTTCCAGTCTACTGAGGCTACTTTGTCTTTGGACAAATTGGTCGCTTTTTCTTACAATTAATTTATGTCTGTGAGACTGCTGAATGGTCGTACTTAAAATAGTAAAAGAAGCCTATTATCTTGAATTCTCTGTAGCTGTGTTGAAAAGTCCCTCTTATATTTTTCTGTCACCTATATGTTCCCACCTATCCGCATGAAAAAGGCTAATAATTCTGCCTTGTCTTATGGGTTTTATGTCCAATATACTTCAAGATAAGCGTCTGAACACTAATATAATCACTCTATAAATCCAGCTCTTTTGTGTTGTTTAAAGGGAACTCCATTACTTTAAAGGTACTAAAGAGAAATAGAGAAACAAACCACTCAATCTTTTTGCTATTCATAGTGTGTGTCTTTTCCCTGGGGATCCTCTCAGTAATCACATAGCTGCCAAGAGTAATTCAAAATCAGCCAGGTAGCTGCTGCTTTTAACACTATTCTTTCTGCTTTGCTGCCTCCTCAAAACATCCAACTTTTACAAGCCAACTTAGCTTGCCAGCTGTGTAGCACTGTTAAACTAGTTTGGTTCAATAAGCCTAGCTAACAGAACCTAATCTATGCTCTCTGATTAAATCCATTTTTAACACATTTGAACTTTTCCATACCATATATTCAAACAACACTTGGAAAACTGGATTTAATAACTCCTCCTCACAAATATAAATAGATTTCTAATACAAAAATCTCTTTATACTTAAATATTTCATATTATACTTTCGTGATTGTCTTATGCTTCTGTTCTGTGACGTAGTCTTCAGTGAAATTAAGAAGCCTTTTCTGTTCTAAAGGAATTGGAATGTCCTTTTAAAATAGATTTAATCTTGTAACCAATGGTATTTGTTGTGAATTGTCATGGCCATACTGTATTTGATTTATTTTGCACAGCTTCCTTTTGAAAAAGAGGTGTTGATGTCAGTGAGATTACCTGTGTGAATAAAGCATTTGCTAAGAGGCTATTGCTATTGGCTGACGCAAGGAGTGGGGATTGTTAAAAACGCCACTATCATGACCAGACATGAGGAGTCACTGGCAAAAAAAAAATGAAATAAAATGACTGTCATGTTTTAATCTCTTTTTGAATGATTAATTAAAGAGGAACAGTAAACCCTACCTGTTGAGCCAGTGTCCCATGTCAGGAAGATGAGCCCACTGCACCCCGGTCTGGTTGAGGGAGCGCAGCAGTCGGCAGCAGAGCAGAGTGAATGGCGGTGTGGCTAACGCTAGCCACTTCTCTGAGTAAATCACTGCCTTGGGAGAGGGGTGAAAGTCTTTGGAAGGGAGGATAGACTCTTCTTCGTCTCCAGTGCCTCTCTGCTCTCTGAAGTACTTGCGGCAGACGTCCTGAAAGACGGCGAGGCAGAGGGTGTTGAGCAGGAAGTACCAGGTTTGGTGCTCTTCCTCCACGAAGCTGCTGGCCGCCAGGCTGAGAGTGTGTCCCACCGTGCCGGCCAGCAGCAACACGTCCAGCTCCGACAGCGACCACTCACTGCCAATGCTCCTCAATGGAGACTGTTGAAGAAAACAAAAGTGCTGTTAGAGCAAAAACAATGTGTTTTGAGGTTAGAGTACAGAGCCGACGACATTAATATGTTGCTTCTGTCTAAAGAGGCATTGTATTTATCTTGTTTTTTTTTTTATCTAGAGCATCTCTGTGGTCCAATTATATTTGAGTTACTTTTTATTTGAGTTTTTTTTAACGACCATTATACCTTGATACCAACTACAAATAGTGCAAAAAAATTCAAGGATAATAACCATAACATTCTGACTGGACGCTACACCAATTTGTAACCCCCAGTTAAAGTTATAATTGTTCCACTCAGTGGGTTAATCATTTAGATCAAACTACTGCTTTGGTGATTCATGCCAAATTGAAAAGAACTCATCTAGTGATTCTTGTTTTCGACCACTTACTGTACACCTGCCTAATTATCTTACCAACATACTCACACTCAAATCAAATGTGTCTATTGATGCGTACTGCATATTTCTCCCAAGAAATATTCATCTTTTGTTTTTTTAAGAATACACAAGATTCAGTCATGTCATTTTACGGCATGTGTCTCATATAGGATTTTTGTTTGGCCATATTGCAGCAGAGAGTGACCGTGAGCTGTCATTCATGAATTGTGGTCATCACTAATGTATATTTTAATCCCATTTTAAAAAATTGGTGTTTGGCCAATCATGTACTTGTATGCAAATTATTTGGTTCGGTGACGGCATACAAAGAAAGTTCAAGTGAAGTTCAGCACCAGTCTTATAGCCAAACAAACAAATCCAGACATGTATCTTAAGAGATCACCTCTATGACACTGAGAGGCTGAGATTGCATTTACACTATCTGCAGACTTCAGCACCTGGTCACTGTGGGATTACTCTGTTCTCATTCATAACACTCCGTTCGATGTCTCACTATGGGATGCGCCTCAACGCGGAGCAAACAGAAGCATCAATCTCATTACGCCAATCCTGATTGGCTGGTGATCTTGACGTCAGCGTCAGGGAATCCACCCACCCTATAAGTAGCTTGCGCCACGTAGCAGCGTCATTCAAACACCTCTTCTCGCTTCAGAGCACATCTCGACATATCAGTAGCAGGGCTAGCTTAACAGTCCACAGACTGAACCCAAAGCTAACTTTCGGTCGACGGGTGCTCGCCGGCTACTTTTCTGCTTCGCAAGAAGACTGTTAATACTAACACACCAGTTAGTATTGCAATCTACCTCGCCGTTTCTTTCTTCGGAAATAAAGGTAAGGTTTTGATTTTTCAAGCTAGTGACACACCTGTTGCTAGCTTGCCTTCCCTCACTACCGACACCACGGTAGCAAGGACTTTTTTTCTTTTTCTCTCTCACACCAGAGGAGGAGAAGATAAAAAGGTATTAACACACCAGTTAATATTCTTTGAGAATAAAATTCTACACCGTCGCTTTTTCTCCGGATTAACGACAGGTGGGAAAAAACTTTTTTCTCAGCAACGTACCTGTTACGAGCGGGTCCTCTCCACGCCGTCACCAGGCGAACGAGATGGACGCTTCGTCCCCACACCAGAGGAGTCAGGACTCGGAGTCGGCTCTGCGGCTGCGGTTTGGAAGATATTCGGGGGCAGCAGACTCACACGAGGTCTGCCTCCTGGCCTCGGGTGGAACTACGCCAGGAGTATCGACGAACCCGGCTCCCGCTTCACCATCAAGGCCCGCCGGACGAGCTAGCACCAAGCTAGCTTGTCGGGATACAGGACCCCCTCATGTTCCACTGTTTCGCCGCCGGATCAAGACATTGGGGCGCCGCCGCAGTAAATTGACCCGCCGCGTGTCAGGCTGGGGCTCAATAACGAAGCGCAGCCGCTGAACCGGAGCCCGCGCGTGTCAGGCTGGGGGGCCCGGTGGCGGCAACAGGCCGCTGAGAGCGCCGCCGCGCTGTGTAAAGCTGGGCTCCCAACTGGACCCTACCATGGTGTCGTCCCGCGGAGATTCCTGAGTTGACTAACATGGAGACAAGAGATGCCTCTAGGTCCTCCCTTGTCCGACCTCGATGAGCAAGAAGATGATATCTTCGTGCATCCAGCTCAGGCCAACAGCCGGGAGCGGATGGTCTGCTCTCACCGGGCGGTAGCCGCACCGCTTTCGCCCGTCTGAGTATGGACCTGCAGGCCGTGTGTCAACGCGCCCGCCGCCTGACACCCATGACACTGAAATGGCCAAGTGGACCTCCAGTCTCGCTTAGGGAGGAAGACTTTGCCCCAAGCAAGCGAGGACAAAAGAGGCAGCTCCTCCAGTCTTCCCTGAGAGCTGTGATGAGGTGTCGGTTCTCGTGGAGAGACCGCCCTTCAAGTAATATAGGCCCAATCCAGTGGTGGCCTCATCCCTTGGGACTTTGACGGCCTGGTTATGGAGAGGCTCGGCCTGCCTCCGCATGCCGCCCATGGAACCGCTTGGTGGCAGCCCATACCCAACCGAGGCGCTCCGACATCAAGCAGGAACCCCACGCTACCGGTGAAGGCAGATCCGAGTTTTCCCAGTCAGCGAATGACGACGGCCTATATAAGCTCGCAGGCGTTTCCGCCAGGGCACTACAACTACCTCATTGCGACCGCCTACCAGGCGGAGCTCTGCAACGCCTGTCGATGCAACCTGGCCGGCCGTATGGGACCGAATTCGCAGCATCACGACAATTTGTTTGCCCCGGTGTGCAGCGTCTGTGCAAGTTCAGGCACGGCAAAGTCATGGCATAAATGGTGA